CTGCCATTTCTCCATTGTGTGTCTACTAGGTGTAAATTTCCATTGTTAATTAAGTAACCTATTGTTTCTGTCTGTTTGTTAATCCTCCTGACATGGTTAGTCTTGTGTCAACTTTACCTTGTTACTTAACAATTGTGGATGTTTGCCTCAATGTTTAATATTTGTTTTTATTGTTCATATGGTGACTGTTCTTATTTTTGAAGTTAAAAAAAAAAAACAGTATCTATGTACAATAAAGTTATCCCTTTGGTTTTTACCTCAACGTCTTGTCTGTGTATGATGCTTGGGGTAAAGGGCTGGTATTAGCTATCTGTCTACTGGAAGGGTTTAAAGGGCAGGAGGAACTGTTTGGAGAGAGGCACCCAGACAGGGTGCCATGCAGACCATCACAGGCTGGTAGCAATAATAAATGTAATTGCAATAGCATGCATTTTAATATACACGTCCTCATACATAAAAGAGATGAATAGGGCAGCCAATCCGATTTTTTCCTTCATTCTCCTATACTCACTGAAAACATGACACAAACAAACCTGTTGGTTGCTAAAAACAACAAAAATGTTTGTTTTAAAATATGAGTCCGCTTATACTCCTTGCTTAGAAATGCATTACTTAAAAAAAAAAAAATACTACTGATCTTTCCACCTTTTATACAGTCTCTCCTTATATTGTGGCAACATCGTACCTGAGTAGTGAATCCCTCTTTCTTGCATTATTGAAATGAAATTAACTTCTTAAATATTGGGGAACAAAAGCCAATCTTTGTGACACAGATACATGCTAATGGAACCATTTTTTTTGAGCCCTTTAGAATCCTGGGAACACACAGGGAAGCCACAGGGTGACACAATGAACTGAACATTAAAAAATATAATTTCATTCTGTGCTGTGCTATTGTTCGTTGACTGAAATAATTATATGAACATATATCTATAATACAAATTATTACTTAAACCTGACATTTAATCTGCTATATATGTGCCCTTCCCTTAATTAACATGCTAACAAAGGCTTTAAGCAAAACATTTCAATTTTCTTTGCATACTTTATTTTAGACCCAGTGATGTCATCATTGGATCTCTGTGCTTCTCTATGTAATGTTGCGCAGATCATGGCTGGTGGTAGGGGCAATCAGGGCGCCATATATCCTAAAAACATCACAGCACCCTGCCTCATGCAAATGCATTGATAGGTGGTTGTCAGAAGGAGTAGGCATGCCTAGGCAGACTACATTTGCAAAAAGACCACCCTTGGTGATGGCCAAATGTGATACTGAATTTCCACAACTGAAAGAACTGAAATCTGGTTAATGAAGGTAGAGAACCACAAACATTCAGGCTAGGGAGGATAGGGCTAGATGATACTGACAGGCCCTAAAAAGTCTGTTTGTCAATCAAGCAAATTGTTTTACCAATAATGGCAATCTACAAACAGATACCTAAAAATAATTGAAAGTTTTTCATTCTTTGCATACATTCTTTTGATTTTACTCCCTATTCTTCTCATGGTGGCCATTTTCACTAGTCGCAGATGAATCCATCTGCCATTGCTTCATGGAACTCTGGGTCTGCCTCCTGTAACACGTGACAGTGCATATCACCTGAGGAGGAAAAATGCCTGTTCCCCAAGATCTCGCCAGACTTCGCAATTTATAGAAGAGGTTTTCCAGGAAGGCACTGGTGATGTAGTCTTCCCAGGATGCAGCTGTGAGGTCAGGGCTACATCACCAGTGCCTCAAGAAACCAGGAACTGGGAAACAGTAATTGTAAGTAAAGTAATAAATGTTTAACTAATGAATTAGAGCTAAATTCTGATCTGATTTGTAGTAGAGGAAAAGGTCCACTTTAGGCAGGTAAAAAACTGATGTGACACGAATGTCAGCAGCTACTATGAGAACTACAAGAAACCAATGTACAAAAACAAATATCCTAGGTAGCAGGTAGCAGAAGATAAATCACTTGGCAATGGTGTAAATCTGCTAGAATTAGTGACAATTAACAATCCATTGACTGCAATACATTTTTTAAACTTGGAACAAAAACATTCAATGCGATAAATCAGAAGCTGCTTAAATCACATCTATAAAAGCACCAATATGACATAGTTCTTATTAGAGGCCAAGGACCACAGCAGGGTATTTTAACCTTGACTTCATAAATAGGTGGCCCAAAAAAGTTTGACCATTCTGCTACAATGGGTAAACCAAGGATGTACAGTTTGGCAGCTATAAGGGAAGCCACATCTGTCAAGGTAACACATTGGCTGGGCTAAACAGCAACAATAACTTGCACCCTAGATTTCTGTGTCACAATAACTTGCATTCTTGGCATTTTTACATTGGTCCAGCATGAATCAATTTAGCTATGCATTTACCATACCTGTGATATCCCACTGGCTTCCGTGTCCCTGATTCTCTGACTGAATGAAGTGGAGAGCGTGATGCCTCTCTTCCTCGTCCAATCAGAGGATGCTTTGCATTCATTGAGAACATACAAAACATTCTCTGAATGGCGGCCATGCTGAACAGGTGAACTCCTTTGTTCACAATGCAGCAGGGCAGTTGCTTCGCACAGGACTCAGAAGCTAGTGGAGATCACTGGAGTAGTGGTGTCTACTTCAGTATTTTCTAGCTCTAGAGGGCGTTGACAGGTATGAAATATGCATAGTTACAATGGTGCAAGCTGGGTCAATGTAACTATGTAAAAAAATGCCATGCCTAGAATTCTATTTTAAATTTCTGAATATTACAATATTAATTTTATCAAAAGAAAAATAATTTGAAATGCTGAGCATTGCAGCAAACTTGCAGTATGACAGTGGCACTGGTGCTAATAATAGTGCTTGGTAATATGCTGCTAGTGGAATTAACATCTCTCAATAAAGCGCGCATTCTACTGATGGCCTAGATAAGATGGCAGCATTCTTGATGCCCAGTACAGAATTCCAGTTTCTTGCTTAATTTGTATCAATACTTCTTTAGAAAATATAAGTGAAAGAAAAATTATAGGGTTACGGTGGTAGGCCGAGAAGGCTATACTGTTATCCAGGTGCAGCATTTGGGTAACACTGTTACAAACTCTTCACACAACAGTTTAAGTAATATTTGCAATTCCAATTTAAGTGAAAACAAGAGGTCAAAATAAACAGGTATATAGTTCTGTTATCTACAGTGTAAAAATTACAAAAGTTTAAAGTCCATGGACAAATCATTTTTACATTTTAGCAAAAAGGCAAGCTTTTCGTCTCTGGTCATATGCTGAGCATATACATGTGTGTGGATGCAGAATTTCTAATACAATGTATAAATCTGAAATAAGAGCTTAATTTCCCAAATCAGAACGTATTTCAGCATTTGCCCTACCCTACATGTAGAGATCATAAATTGTCTTGTCTTTACCGAAGCCAATATTTTAATGAAAACATCTGAATTTGCAATGTAACATAGCTACTGTCAGTTATTCTGTAGTCTAAAATATATTTACTGATGGCATAATAGATAGTCAGAACAAACTTCAGGAGCATGGATAAATCCAACACAATATAGGTCAATACCCAAATAATACAAGAAATAATAGAAATAAAAAACTGACCTGATTTTTAAACATTCCTTGCAATTATTGAGCCATTGCTGATTTTCTTGCAGGTGACAAAGAGCAATTCAGATAGTTGGTGGCACTTATTATTAGGATTTTCTAGCACATTAACCTTAGGTGAAGGACCAAAGGACCAAGGACCACTATGTACTGCTGTCAGCACCAGGCAAGAAATGCAATAGGTCCTGAAGCACAGAAAAATTGTGCACTGATGGACAGATACAGTATCTCCCTGCCTGTCATTCCTGTGGAAATATCTGGTAATCTATAGCCAGTCAGAGGATATAAACGATTTCATAAATAGGTAACAGTGTGAACATTTCTACAAGTGATAAATGCAAGGTTTGCGACTAGCAGATGGCTTTACTATATTCTGCTAAAAACTAGTAGCTTTGAGCAAATAATATATTTAGAAAAACTCTGTTCATATAAAAAGCCACATAGAAATTACATGGATCCTTCAACCAAATACACTGTATTCTTTGGATAGAGAAGAACTGAAGCTTACACACTACAGAAATTGTCATGCGTTACATCGTTCTGTGTACAACTGAATACAAAAGACAGAACGAGCTGTTGATCTTACTGAGAATTGTGGAGAATAATTCATAAAAGAAACAGGTGCCTGATTCTAATCAAAACACATTGCTACTGAGTATGGAGCAGGCTTCATTCAGGAGCATCGACAGAGCAGATGTTATCATCTATATAAGCAACATGTTTAAGAAAATGTACCTAGAATAACAGCTAATAAGGAAACATAAATGGTACACTTGCTCCAGTTACAGTAATTAATGTGAATTATATTATTTTGACATTGTATAATGTATGTGAATATACAGTTGAATGTATCTCACTGCATGTGTCAGTAATATACACCTAGAATTGTTTTATTTACAAGAGTTCATTATAACACAGTACAAGGTCCCTTTAATCTTGCTTCCTTACAACAGGTTTCAAATGAAGCACTGACGTAGATAGATTTACACGGTTTATTATCATGGAAACACACAGATAACCCAAAGAATGCTTTTATTGTGATTACCTCTAATCGCTGAAAAAGAGATTCCCAATCTCCCAATATCAGCATGAACTAATAAACAGTGAATCAGTACCGAGTTTCCATATTCAGTATGCATAGATATGATGGTTAGGTGCAAGTGCTTTGGGCTGTTTTAACATGTACATTCAAAATATAAGAACACCTATGATCACAAAATCACAGGGCCAGATAATATGAAAATAAAGCAGTTAACAGGCAATCTATTATATCCCAACCCAAGAGAACCATTAGAAACCCTGTTCTATAGATTAAGGTGCTGGTTATTATTAAAAAACATACCAAACTGTTGATGTGTAAATAGAGAAAAAAAATGCACATACAGAGATGGGTACAAGCAGACCAACCTTCACAATGTACGTCACTCCAGGTCCCTGGATCTTCTCATTCGAGTGCAGCCATCCTCGAGAAGGCTTATTGACAAAGCTGCTACTTTGATTCCAATCTTCACCTCCCAGATGCATTTCTTCTGAGCGTGTTTTTTTCCCTGTGCTCATCTTGCTCACGTCCTGCTGAGAACACGGAGGGGTAGAGACAAGGTTACATGTGTTGTCTGAGGCTCCTGCTGCTGTACTTAGAGCAGGAGAGCTACCCTGTAACTTGGATCCAGCAAGCTCCTTTACTGCAGAGGACAGGTTTTTGATACCCAACAGGCTGCCTGTGCTGGACAGTTTTAAGTGAGACACTTTGTGAATAAACGTACAAAGAGAGGTGGATCCATCTTCTTGGTCCTTCGGTAAATCTGCGCTCGCAACCGGGCAGGAAATTGTAGCTGGAGTACCGGCGACCGTGGAGACTTTACTGTTCATGGACAGGTTGCTCAAGAGATCATCGACCGGTGTCACAGATTCATTCTTGAAGCGGTTGTACTTGGTACGTTGAAGCATGCCCTTCTACCTAGTTTCTTTCATATGCTGTGGCAAAGCTGATGCCAGTCTAAGAACCACCTTTGCTAACATTGCCAGAGGTCCATGACGGTACCTGTAAAACCTATTGCAAAAGAAAAAATACAGATAGGTAGCAAAATTGTGAAAAATACCAAAGAGCATAAAGGATTGAATTTCCCCAAGACAGTTCTATATGACATTCCACTTCTGGTTAGAGCTGCCAACTCGCTCACAGCAAAAGCATGACTCACACAAATGAGGAGACCCTTTTCAACAAAAGGCTCAGTGAGCACTGCAAATCACTTCCTGTAGCACAAAAAACATCCACCCACTTACAGCACTATAGAACCAATCAATTCTCAAATTTCCTTCCCCTAACTTCGCAAACAGATCATTTCTTCAAGTTATGTCAGTTTGCCCCCTCTACCCCCAAACTGATGTACACCTTTAATAACCCTATTCGGTAACAAGTAAAATATGCTTTCTTCTATTAGGCCAAAAATTATCTGTGCAAATCATAACAGACGTCAATGTATTTAAGCGCTGCGTAAATTGACGGCACTATATAAGTACCTGAAATAAAATAAATAGATAATATTGATGATTATCTATTTATTTTTTTCTCTTTCTTGATTGAGAAAGAGAAAAAAAATAAAACAAATTAAAAAGTCACTATTCATTCAAATTCATTAAAATAAAACAAATTAAAAAGTCACTATTCATTCAAATTCATTAAAATAAAACAAATTAAAAAGTCACTATTCATTCAAATTCATTAAAATAAAACAAATTAAAAAGTCACTATTCATTAAAATTAATATTTACGTAACATCAGTCTACATTTTCAAGATGCACTTTCACAAAAGTTTCATTTTTCCTTCTAAATAATGCTAGTTTATACATCGGCATCTGTTTCTATAAAATATTACTTTATATAGACCACAGTAGAAAATCTGGCAATATACTGTAAAGCTGTGTTGAAGATTTCTTATGTAAGTATGTATTAAAATGTTACATCTGAACAAGAAACGTGTATTCATGTCAGTTAATGGTTAACACTCAAGGTAGTTTAAAAGCTAGAGAATCCTTTGTTCCTAATCTGGTGGGATCGAAATTCCCCAAGAGATTTACCAGGCCACAGGTGATGCTAAACAATAGACATGTAAAATAAGTGATCTGTCAAGTCTCCCACTGCAGCACATTACATTAAAGACCAAAGTGCCCCCCTCCCCCCTATTATTCTGAAACTGCAGCACAGAAAGTACAAAAGCAAAAAAAATACATTTTCAAAGAAAGATATTTAATTAGTCTAATTTGTGACACGTTAAAAAAAAGTCAGCACCTCTGCTCCCGGGAGTGACGGATAGCGGAGATGTTTAATGGAAGCTCGAGCTCCCAGTGCAGAATAGCCTTTCATTAAGCACACGACACAGCCCGCTGCAGTATTCTCACAGCCTTCATCTTACCCATTCTGTCTGTTAGCATAGCAACAACGAATACTCACATCATAGATAGTTTCAGCTGTTAGCTAATACAACGGAACACCTAAAATTCCCAAAAGCCTCTCTTCATTAGCTATAAAGGAAAATCGCAAAATGTGAATGAAACTCTATTTGTGTGAATGAAAGGGCTGGCTCGCATATCAATAATTCTGTGAATGAAGCAGGGCCATGCAGCCTCTGCTTGGCAATCCCTTGGGTGCTAACCGTTCCATCCAATGAGAGACAGCCTGCATGACTCATTCAACAAAGGCTTGCTAAATAGTGGAAGAGTCCATTTTGATCACAGGCAGCATTCTTTATACAGCAAAATCTAACCTAATTAAGGAGGCAACAGACAAACAAATGCATCTTTTGCAGCAGGAGACAGAAAAAGATATTGAAGAGAAAAAGAAAAAAAAATGCTGCGTGTCTGATAAAAAAAATCCTTATCTCCAGTGTATGTTTGTTTTAGTATACCTGCTCCATTCATGAATGTGCTCATTCTGTCTAATATGCCTATTCCAGCACATTAAATTGACATATTGAGCATCAGAACCCTGCAGGATGGTCTCTTGGGTAATAAATTGGACAGTATATATCCTGGGGATTTAACCCCTTGCTAAAAATAAAAGACAACTGCTATTTTAGAAAGTGTGTGGTATATAACATTTTATGGGGTAATGGAAAAGAAATGGTGTGCATTTTGTAAAATACACAATACATTAAATGGTGTACAGTAACATATGAACCCAATTGAATTAAAGCTTTCATCAGTTCGGCATACTTCGAATAATAAACCCTTTTGATTGTCAGCACAGGTTTTTGCGTGTGCAGAAATTGATTATCAGTACGGTGTAAGTCATTACACTGATGGAAAACTGCAAAAACATGAAATACGTCAGTTCTTACTGCTTTGCTAACATACAACTTGCAGTTAAAAATATCTATTTGTCTCCTGAGAAACTCCATAATAAAGAACAATACAGTTGCAGAAGTGGCAGTTAAAACCCCTGAAATGTATATACGTAAAGGCCTAAATAAAAGCACAGGGATAATAACATAGAGTATTTGCTGAATATAACTTAATTTCTTCTTAATATCATTTTTTGAAAACATAACGTGCTATATAAATGATTAAAACAGACATTTAAATAAACAAGTAAACGTTGACATGTTTAAATCAATGCAAACAGCAGAAAGGCAAGTCTTAGATGATGTGATCTTTTAGAGTTTAAAGTGCCAAATTAAAATGGTATTGCTTTTTCTAAATGGTATAAGCACACAGATAGCCTTGCTTACTTTTTTTGCATCTTAAAACATGTATAAGTAATAAAAAGAGAAATCACTGATTTTATTTAATTTTTTTCCTCTTTTTGAGGCGACGTCATTAGCAAGCAATTGTAAGTCTATTTACTGTTAGCTGTTCCGGCACAGTAGGGGTTTCTAAAGCAGAAACATACGCAAAAACGGCAAGACTACCTGACTTTTCAAGGAAACAATTCATACAGCTACAAGCAGTGTGAGAACCCTCCCTTAGCAACAGGAGTTGCCTTGGAAACGCACACGGGAACAAGAATATGTTGGAATTTTTCAATGAAATCATTAGGTTTTGGTAGGAATAAAGCAAGCAAATAATGGTCAATTATTTACTGAAATATCGTGGGTGTATTAAAAGTTGGATGACGATACACAGAGAGGTCTCGACTGCATGCTACATATCTCCAGGCAATTTAAAAAGGGGGTTAATTTTTCTGTGAATTAGAACACGCACAATGTTATATAAGTCATTATGAAAAGAAAATGACTATGGGAGTTCACAGTGCTGTGAACATGAAAACAAAAGCTGAAAAAAAATCAATATGTGCAAACTGTACCGTCAATGCAATGATTCGATGACTAGGTCAGGCAGGAAGATCAAACAAACAGTATTCAAACTCCTACAAATGGACAAATGGAAATTACCTAGTTAAAAGATAGGTCCACCTAAAACTGATTAATCAGTTTTGAGAGATTTTGTAAATTCAATCATAATAAAACATTGGTGTGTTAAAAACGTTCTTCAGGTCCTAGGGTGCCCACATATATAGCTGTGCAGCTATGACATATTCAGTTTGGCTTAATGTCAACCAATAGTATCATATCTGTTTTGCTGCATTATCTACATAAATATAAAATGAAAACAGCAAGGGCTATGTGACGCTACTGCATAATGAGAATCATGTCATGGCCATGGGAAGAAGATTCTCTCATTAGGGTATCGGAGTATTTTAATAAGCCATCTAAACCTAAACCCAACCAGTATACCCTATCCACTAGAATTCACTCATAATATACACAGCCCTGGGGTCTTCCTTCAGAAGGGTGACAATGCTTCAGAGCCTGCAGTGTATTCACTGCAATGTTGTCACCCTCCAGAAGCTGCACAGGGCTGTGTATGCTAAGAAGGAGCATTATCGGCATTGATACTGCTGATAACTGTCTTATATTCAGTAACCAGTATGTTATAAATAAATTGCCGCGCTCAAATGTCACAACTCAGAATCTGTCACAACCATATAAGTAATAACATAAATGAGTCCAAATGTAAAAATTAATAGTCCCAGTGTTATGAACTATACAGTAGATCACCATGTGTCTTTTCAATATAATTAGTGCTCCACCACCAGAAAATGGTAGGATTCTTACCAGAACATGTGGACCCTTATAAAACAGTCACAAACGCATGAGAATATATTCACTGAATCCCTCAGAATTGGAAGATGTTATATCATGGTGCTGGATGGAAGTATCACCTTCAATTCCTCCCCATTCTTAATCCCATGATAGTACCTCTCAGTATGGCCATGCAAAGAAAGACAAAAGGACGACCATTGCATAAAACCATAAAAAACGTTTGTTAGATTGTAAGAATCAGGGCCCTCCTAACCCTCTTGTATTGAACTGTATTGTTGCTGTATTGTCTCCCTTTATATTGTAAAGCACTGAGCAAACTGTTGGCACCATATAAATCCTGTATAATAATAATAATCATAAAGTATTGCACTCACATTCAGGTGGGCAAATCAGCGCTGTGTACAGAGTATTCTCCTTTCCCAGGAACAGGTACACTTCCTGGTGTTAGAGAACAGCTTGTAGTCGTCAGACGTACAAGCTCCACCCGACGCGTTTCATCACATATGACGTCATCTGGGGCATGGAGCTGTACTCTGTACACAGCGCTGATTTGCCCACCTGAATGAGAGTGCAATACTTTATGATAATAAACATGGTTTATGCGATGGTCGTCCTTTTGTCTTTTTTTGCATGGCCATACTGAGAGGTATTATCATGTGATTAAAAAAGGGGAGGAATTGAAGGTGATACTTCCATCCAGTACCATGATATTCTGAGGGATTCAGTGGATATATTCTCATGTGTTTGTGACTTTTCTATAAGGGTCCACATGTTCAGGTAAGAGTCCTACCATTTTCTGATGGTGGAGCACTAATTATATTTTATTTATTTCAGGTACTTATATAG